TCATTCATATCAGTTTGTAATTAATATTGTTGATCAAGATGAGTATTTGCTTTAACATGACATAGAAAAATATCCAAAACTTATTTTTGATCTATTTTTTTTTACCTGTTTTGGTAGTGAAGTAGTAAAATTTATAATAAAAAAACTACATATATGCCCCATCTAACCCACCTCCCCTTTGTTTTTGTTTTTGTTTTTTTTTTTGGGGGGGGGGGGGGGAGGGGGGACATACCGGTACAACAAGGAATGTGTTTAAGAGAGATTTGACAGATATATCACCGCAAGAAATTGACTGATTTACTTTTAATTCATTCAGAGGTTTAAATGCCGTGTTTATTTATCTATTTATTTATTTTTTGTTTTAATTTGAAATTCAATATTCAGAAATTATTCCGTATTGAAAATCTTCTCATGTTAAATCACTTATTCCTCATTTAATTCCTGAGTGGCACTGGTCGGACAACAAAGGAGCAGAGTGATAATGTCCAAAGACAGTGCTTTTTAAAAGAACTTTTCCCCAAAAAAGTATCATTATTTTTCTGTGTTTTTTATGTCCATGCCATCAAAACATTTTATAACTTTACCTGTAACACTTTTACTCATTATTACCATATGCCATTTTTAAATCTGTTCAGTTCTTCTTAAATATGTAGTAGCCTTGTCGCATTTTACTGTCCCTCGTTCCCCTTTACGCTCTTACCATTTCTACTGAACAATTTGGAGACAATGGCCGCATCCGACTGGTTACTTGTTGTTTCATGTTAATCATTGCCATCGCTGGGACTTGTTAATAAATTCGAAAACCACATTCCTCGTTACTTTGGACATTTCACTGTCAACATTCTCTCTTTTTAGTTCAACAACATATCTTTTTATACCAAAACTACGGATACACAGCCCAAAGTATGTGATCTCATTATATCACACGGACATATAGCTCTTTTGAAACATTTATGAGAAGGCAAGAAATATCGATCGGTGAAATTGACACCCAGTCATCTTTCCTCAGAGGTCAATATTCGTCGTCACAGTGCTATATATGGGCGTATTTGACATGTGATGCACAGGAATCGTGTTTATGAAACATTTAAATAATTAATTAAAATATCCATAATTTGGTCGGCTGACCACACCTGGACAGGCTTTACAGAGTTACACACATAGGAAAAAGCATTGGCGCAAACAATGCACAGCCAAAATTTATAATCCTCTCCCATTTTCAGAAGAGAGCAAAATGCGGACTCCGGTGTAACAACGAAAAGTGACCCCCGTAGAGTATTGACCAAGGTGTCATTTTTCTACGAAGAAAAATGACCCAGGTTAATATTCTAGGACAAGAAGGGTCATTTTTCGACCGTAGAAAATCCTTCCAGGCCAGTAATTCTACGACTCCGGGCCGTTGCTCGAGACGATAAGGAAAAAGTTGCATTTTCATTAAAATACCTCTTCAGTTTATCATTTATGTTCGCTTATCTTAATAATTACGATAACATAGTAACACTGCAAATACATAATAACACCAGTAAGATAATAGGGTATAGTCAAATGTATTTTCATCTACATGTGCAAGTATATCAAAGTTTCAAATTGGTTTCGCTCTCAGTGCTACTGAACTTATACATATTTATCTACATGTATTTTAGAACTTTCATAAATCAGTTTAAAAGGTAACATTTTGAACCACATGACTCATTTAGCCAATTTTCAAGTTATTCTTCAGCAAATCAGAACAACAATATTTGGAAAATATTTCCTTTTCCTTTTTCAGAAGAACTCAATGCATAAAAAGAATGCTGAAAGTTTGACTTTCAAATACGCCCAGATTCCTGCCAAATATCAATCAAATGCGCCCTCATCCTTAATACAAGGCCGTTCAAAATTACGCGGACTCTGCTATTATTTACTCTTACAGACGTCATATAGAATTGAAATTTCACAGGAACATATTTCTTAAAAATTCCAATAAATTCTTGGTAAAAATTTCTGATTTTATTTAATATCTCATAAAATTATTGCCGATTTGATACTGCTGATGGTGATATACGGAGCACGGCAAAAATGTTGAAAAACAAACATGCGGTATCCAAAATTTTATTCATTTATTTTCCATTTTTTACTATATTATTCAACAACTTTTTTCTAAAAATTCTTTTTATTGTTTTATTATTAAGTATTTAGATTTCTGGCATAATATTTGAAGTACTAACAGAAATATTGTAATTTTTCTCCGATGTGACCCCTTCGAAATCAACTGCAAAAATGACGTCTCGTGATTTGACGGAGCAGCGCACTTTTATCAAATCATGAATGATGCTGGGAAAACGCCAATAGAGACCCAGAATAATCCTAATAACACATGTAGTAAACCAGCGGAATATCCGACACACCTCTACAACATGTAAAAAAGAATTTTAGACCGATAGACCTTAGTCAAAAGGCAATACGGGAGGAATGGAAGAAGTTCATCGACAAAACACTGATCTGGGCTGTTAAGAATGTGATTGAGATCGACTGATGTCAAACTTTACTTCAGAAATATCTGCAGTTTTGGGGTTTAACACACTAAAACATACAATGATAGTTTTATAGTTTTTAAGCTGAATCGGAAATGGTAATACATATGGATGTTTATTCTGGGTGGATAAGGTAACCAAAAACTATACAGTATCAAATACTAAGGGAAAATATTGAGAAAATGAAAGCTCCCAGTTTTTAAAATGCTCGTGACGTTGAAAGTTTTACTGCGCCGTGACTTCATCAGATGTTCCTGTTAAATTACTTGAAATTGATACCAATTTATAATATTTTGGTATGAAATTTTGATGATCATATATGAAAAGATTCTTTAATATTATTTATGACTTTTTGCTTGATTATGTAGTCAAATATATTTACTGTGTAACAAGTCCGCGTAATTTTTGAACGGCCCTCGTAAGTTTAAGGTATATTTACTACTTTGTGACCACGGCCTTCAGTTTGAAATTGCAAAACTCTGAAGAAGTTCAAGAGAGAAAACGTGTTAAATACTAACAGGGCGTAGCTTAGATTGTAGCACGTAAGCACGTGCTTCCACATTGTTCGGTAGGAAAAATGAATTCATAAAAAGTTAAAATGCTTTTCAAAAATAAATTTAAAACACTCTCCGAAGAAAATACTGAACACTGAACTGTAGTAAAATTTGGCATTATTTGTTTAATGTTTTAATTTTTCAATTTATATTAATTTATGAATATCATTTCTATATATAATTTATAAGACTCGAGTTCATGAAAACATGCATGTATGATTGAAATTTCAAAAGCATTACATGTATATAAAGGATAATACATACTTAGTGTAATATTGAATACATGTAAAATGCATATAGGCCTATAACATGCAGTCTAATAATAAGGACATCAGGGAGAACCAAGATTTTTTTCCTCGCTGAAAACGCATTTATGACAATATATATCATTAATAATAACTACAAAAGGTATTTAGAAAAAAAGTATTGATTAGCATTTAACATTTTATGGTTTAAAATGTTATAAATCTTTTTTAAGTCTATCGTCACTTATCTAAAATGCACCAGCTTCCAGGGGCTTCGTACCCAGAGTCCCCTGGACTTCGGCTTGGTCCCATCGGGGCCTTATGCTCCCCCCTCCCCGCCATTTTATGCTTCCACATTGATCGACCCCAAGCTATGCCACAAGATGCGAATTTGGAGTTATAAAAGGCCTGTATGTACAAGTCAACCAAATTACAGAAATTCAGTGTATAACAAAAACATGTATATCTATGGCCATATATGGCACGAAAACAGACACCAAATAAATAAACACCGTGCGTTTCATAAGTCTACCCAACCCAAATTTTGATTTATAAATTAGGGTCCCCATTTTTCTCTGTTTGTGTATGAGGGACTGAGTTTAGGTCCCCAATTCTGTTTGCTTATGAGAAGATGGGTCCCCTAATTTTACACAGAGTCCTCAGATTGGCACTTCCGGGTCCCCATTTTCTAAATTCATGGAAATATCATTCAATCTCAAAGACTCACTCCATCTACTTAAACCAGGATACCTACGAAGTAAAATGAGTTAAACAATACCAAATATGTCATGAAATCGCTTAGTCCCCATTTTAAGTTTTTATGACAGAGTCCCCAGATCGGAGTCCATACACGTAAGGGTGTGTGTGTGTGTGTATGCATGGGTTCAACTTCTTTTATAACCAAAGTTATTTTATACATTACCCTGATTTGACTAAACAAAGTGGGGGCTGGCAAGCCCTTCAATGAACATTTTCAATATTAAGAAGTATATACTACATGCCTGTTATGTACATCTCTAGTCTAAATATTTTTAGAAGAATATTACTGAAAGAATATGGATATCAAAATATTTTTATAAGAATATTACTGAAGGAAAATATGGATGTCAAAATATTTTCAACCTTCATGATTATCCACCGATCCAATAATAAATTATATAATGTAGATTTTATGCATCTGAAGAAAGTATTGTGGCATGCATGCATCCTTTGATACAGTCATCTCTGCAAATGTGTTATAGGATTGGCTTACCCATATATACAGTTTAGCAAGAATAAACCTGTTCCAACAACTTGAACTCACTAAGAGGTCTGATGCTAAAACTGAAGCAAGTCTAGAAGCATTGATTTTTAGATGCATAAACCAAATAATCTGGACACAGACTTGGAATAAGTTGGAAACTATGAATTTCCTCAACAACCAACAAAAGTTGATACTTAGTGATGCCATGGGTATTGCATACAAGTAAACTTTTTCTTGATTTTATTGAAAAGAGCTAAAATTTGAAAAAAAGGGTGATAATGTAGCTTTCATTAATGCACCAAGTTTTACTTGTATCAGACTTGAACTTAAAAATAAGGCATTTTGAAAATCAACAGAACTACCCATGTTCATTGTGCTAATGCATAGGCTTTCCTGGTCTTTGAATAGTAGCATTAAACATAAAGAAGCCAAAAAAAAAAAAAAAATCATTTTTTCATGGTTTTATCATTTTTTAAAAACAGAAACACATATGTTCAACAACAGATTTAAACACAGCTTAACTGAACATCTATAGAGTATGTTGAGAATTTAAACTTATAATCTGGAATAAAACAATAATTTTCATCAATAATCAATATCTTACAGCTACAGACAAAATTTTGACAATAGAGATCCACTGACAGTATATAACTGTATGCCCGCAAAGATATGTATACTATAATGGTTATAAACATTTCAATACCATATTGCACAACATAAAATTAGTACAATGCTTAAGTGTAGATAAGAAAAAATTATTATTTTTAAAAGATTCAAACAATAAAAAATAACCAATAGGAAAAGCCCACTGTTCATTTTTGTAATTACATCAAAAATATCATGGAAAAGTCATGCATCTAAAAATACAGCATTTCACTTTTTTCAGTTTTGGCAAATGTAACTTTGTCATAATGGCTGTAAACCTAAAGATGCTGATATGAAGATCAAAAACCTTCTATTTAAATAACTGAAATGTACATTTTTTAAATTAATCAAATTCTATTTTTTTTTTCTCTGCAACAATAACTGTCTAAAAATGAGATATATCAAATGCTATTCTCCTCCCTACCACAAAAACAAAATACAATTTATAAATAGTATAAATTTTGTTTAATATCAATGTTTGTGAGCCATATAAAGCAATAATTAATTACATCAAAACATTCAAACCTAATTAGGGATAGAAGCACTTCATAAATTCATGTACCAATAATCCTGAGGCTTGACCCAATGAATAACTTTTTTGAGGAACCAATAATTAATACCATGTTCAAAAATTTAAAGAAAGGTTATGTAACTGGAAGCTTCACTGTCGAGACAATTTTGCTCAGAAAACATCATCTTGATTAATGAGGTACCACTTTACAGAATTAGTTCTATCAAATCAACAAATAGCTAATAACAATATTTAAACCATACCTCAACAGTACCTAACCATTACTGATGTTCTAATGGCATTGATTACCATTAATATAAATAATCAAACAACATCTATCAAAGCTTTACGCCAAATGGGACTTTTATTCATACACCTAATAAAGCACATTTTGTGACCAAATTAAATCATAAGCTGAATAGTTATTATGTGAAACTCATGGTGCTGAAACTGCCAAAATTGTATGATAATGTCCATTTCTAACCCTAAAATGAGGATTAAATTGATCTAAAATGTCCAAAATTCTTATTGATCAATAACGTAATTTGAATGATAAATACTGTACAGGTATGTTTTACATTAGATATAATTTCCCATCATAAATGATCTGACATGTCTTTTCTATTCTAAATCCTTTAGGCCATCACACAGGAAGTTGGCTCTGCAATTGCCACCAGAGGGTGTGTGATCTGGTAACCAAGAGAACCGTCTTGCTTCAAATTCCTCTGAAGGGGCACAGTGGGGAATGTCTGCAAGAAGAAATAAATTGAAGTATGATCAAATACTGTATTTTCTTAAGAAGTTTGCCACTGGATAAAGATGTGTAATTATTTACTGTAAGGGTTCTTTAATTTCAAAAACAATAATGTGAGACTGAAATAAATACATGTACATCACATAATATTAAAATACATGTTATTGTAGCTTAAAATATATTTCATTATTAGGTATTGTTACTTGAGAACTCACTTTTGCCCACAAGTGTGTCCTTAACAGCCTTCATGTTCTTCATGCATTCTTTTGATGCTACTTGGTGGTCCACCATTGGCTTCGGATAATCTACTCCCACAATACATTTTGCTTTCTGTTGGACAGGAAGTGGGGCTTTCCATGGCTCGAACAAATACCTCAGTGGCATGTCTTTTAACACTGGTAGATATCGCCTAGAAACAGCAAAAAATCTTTTCTGTTATTTTGGTACATAACTGTAGCAATTTACACATGTACAATGTTGCATGCATGGAAACTGAAATATTTCCAATCAGATGGCCTTAAAATCAAGTACAATACACTTAGTAGTGTTGAAAGGGTAAAAAAATTACTTTTAATGCACTTCCATATGATGATGCATTTATAAATTCTGAATATCTTTCTTAGATACCTGACATATTCTCCTGATGGGTCCATTCGTTTCCCATATCGTACAGGACAGAAGCAGTTGGGACATTGTAGGACTTTTTCAAAGGCTGAACTGGAGACCCACATCCAATTCCCAGCACAGACTGACCAATCAGCATCGAGTAAGTATTTATAAAACACCTAGATTAAAAATAATAAGGTTGACCAATATAAAATTACTCCAATTCCTTTATTTCATATCTGCAGGAAAAAATGTCATAATAAAACTGTGAGATTTTTTCATGTTGTTGTTCAAACTGTTTCAAAATGTTTTCATTTCTTTGTAGTAACTCTTTTTAATAATACATAATTATACAAATGTACATGTAATTTCAGATGAATATGACGATTTTTAAAAGTATTTGAATATCTTGCCTTTAGTCCAACTTCCCAGCTAAGCCAAAGATCCCCACGGGTCAGGAAGCACGCCACAGCATGACGGGCAACATGATGGATCCAGCCTTCCTGAAGAAGCTGTTTCATTATGGCATCAATCCAGGGATATCCAGTCTCACCCTGTTATAACAGACAACTCAATACATCTCATCTTCAACACAATTTCATTTACATTTGTACATACACATGTACAGTGTACTATATAAATGGACAAATATTCTTGATTTCCTAAACAGACATTTAATATATCAGTGTTTTCCCCTTTACATCAGAATTAGTATGTAACATCAATCTTTAATTGATGATTCAATACATTAATGGTGTAATTCTTATCATTTTAAAATTCAAAACATGAGTATGAGTTTAATTAGATTTTTCAACTACCATGATAATTTCACAAAAACTTGTTATCACAATAAAACAACTAATGACAAAACTACGAGTTTACTGTTGAATCATTATTATTTGCGGGGGTCAGTCACTCAGTGTTTGTGGGCAAGAAAAATGTTGGTGGTTCGTGGGGACATAATTTCGTGGACAACTCATAAATACAGAAGATTCAATGAATAAATATGTTGACAAAATAATTGTTCATGGGAATGTAAATTTGTGGATAAGGGTGACCCATGAAATCCACGAACATTGATCGCCCACAAACATTGATGATTTCATAGTAATTACCTTGGTCCACTTCTCTTCATGTTCTGGATTCTCGTACCATGGTATGTTGAGACAGATTGGGTTAGGCTCCATCTTGTCATAGTTGATGTTATTGACAGCCATGGTATAGAAGTATTCCCTCCACATCAGCTGTGCTGAGAGGGAGACTGGGGCACACACTGATGGCTTTACCTTAAAATGCAATGCAGTGGGTCTTGAATTGAGCTGAAAAATGCCCATATTACATGTATTTCTTCTCTACTTAAAGACTATTAGATTCCAGTGAAAAAATATTTGATCCAGGGCTTTCTTTGCATTTTCATATTTTTTAAAAATATGATTTCTGAGTTTTGGAGGATTTTATATCTCCTTTCAGGTCTCCTGATTCAAATACTTTATTCTCACCTGAAAATAATTCTGGATAGACAATATCCACATGTGCATCTTTATATTTACTTTTTATTCTCTTAAGAATGCATTTAAAGGCAACTTATAAACTTTACAGTACATTTTTTTCTAGGGAAAAAAAAAGAACTTTTGAAACTCTATAGAATATATAATGACCCAGCAGGGCTCTCATGGCTCTTTCTGGGAATGGAGCCAGGATCTTTTAAAGTGGGAAAATTATTACTAGCACCTTCTTGGGAATTTTGGGAAAATGATTATTATATATAAAAATTCATCATGCTTTCAGTTTCTGGTGTTTGTTAACCAAATTCTGTTTAACAATGTTTAGGAATATGAGTACAGCAAGTAGAGTAAACTTAAACTTAAACATAACAAGTTTAGCAATCAGGTAATGATATATCTGTATATAATATGTTCTTTAATTTCGGAGGGGGGGATTAATATACTCTGATGGGAAAAAATGTACCCTTTTAAATTTGGAATGGGGCCTTTCAACATCAGAATGAGCAACAGAGAGCCCTGCATGATGTATTCCTTTATTTTTTTGTTTGAAATCTTATGTATAAATTATCATACAAACAGTTTTCAACATTTGACAGATGGGATTCCAAATACATGCAGATTGAAGGAGACATGTATTTACATTCACAAATACACATGTAAGGCTACATAAAATTGAAATTGCAGTTCTGGGGCCCACGTGCATCCATTTTGAGATAGTCACATTGCAAATTTTATCATACATGTATTTTCAATAAAATAAAAAGTTGGTATGCAGAGACCAATCCTTGAAAAAAAATTCCACCCTCATTTTCTCGTAGTTCTGCACTTTATTTTTGGTTTTGGTATACATTTTGTTTTAACATGGACATCAACAGCCATATAACATGGATGCTTTCTTTGAGAAAAATGAAAAATATTCATACAGTTCAACTTGTCTTCCGTAATTCGAACACTGATATCTAGAATACCATGGATATGCCAAAAAGATCTGGAATTCCAACCCCTTATTCTTTAAGTACATGTATTTTACCCTGGATATCACAAATCCTTGGATATCTCTTAAATTTTTCTTGGTCCCATTAAGTTCGAGATAAAGAGGTTTGACTGTATTTGGTTATTTTGTGAGATGTTGAACATACATGTATCTACAGAATATCTCCAGTAAAATAAATAAAGCAATAATATTCATTGTTATTTTTATAGAAAATTCTGGAATAAAAAAAGGACTCATGCATCTAATTAACTGTCAAAATAAAGGTATTAAAAAACCTCCCCTCTGCATCTGTTTTTAAGAAAATTGGCCTGAGAACCATAATATCAATTCTACTTGGCCTAATGTCATGCATGCCATGTTTCATTCTTACCTCTTTGAACTTGTCATGGATTCTCCAGTAGAACATGCGGACAGACAGACAGCCAAACCTGAGGTGTGCACTCAGACTGAGAGGTGGAGAAAGGAGGTCTGGGTAATACTGGTTAGGCATCACATAACCTTTCTCATAGGCCTGAAAGTACAACATCAAAAGTATAAGAGTTAATCACTCGTACGAAATGGTTGTAAATGGACAGAATAGATCTCCTGAGTGACTCAGGTGACCTAATTACATTAAGGAACAGCCCCAACTACTTTGTCAAAGTGAGATTCTGTTCAATACAAGAGTTAGGAATATGCACCACTGTATTTTTTTTAGATGGTTAATAAAACTGGGAAGTGATTAAAAGCATAAAAAATGTAGGTAGTAGGTCAAATCAATTTTTTATCCATCTCAAAATTATCCAATCTGGTAACATGCATATATTCACTACAGACATGTGCAACTATATTCTTGCTGAAATAAATATATATTATCATTATACTGATGTAAGCTTTGACCTCAAACAGACCTTTTCTTCATGGTTCATGCGAATCTCTAATAATTCCAGTGCTCTTGTTTCCCCACCTTGCCATTTCACAATGGGATTCCTCTGTTCTTCATATTCTGGTCTCACATCTGTAAATACACCATAAAATGTAAATCATACATATAGTCCAGTGTTTTACAGCTTGGCAGATCCTGCAAGCAGGCTGATAATTTTAGAACTGGTTTTTCAAAGTTAAACATTTTTATCACAAAAATTATCATTACAAAAAGTATAAGGAGAGTCAAAGAACTATTCATTAATTTTCTTCTACAATTGATCCTAACCTGAAAGTTGCTTACTAAAGCTATGTAAAAAAATAAGTCTGAATAGAAATTTAATTTTCGATTGAATCTGAACTAAAAAGGCAAAACTGGAACACTCACTCAAGTCCTCTAGAGAAGGGATCCCGAACTGTTTGTCATGATTGTTACTGACAGGGAGATCTATATCGGTGAAGTCTGGGTCCTCCACTGGCCTAGGGGGGTCCCCAATGGTGGAGGTCACAAGATTAAACAGGGAGAAGGTCAAAGGTGGGCTACCTCCATTGTTCTCAATTACTCTGAAAATTAATCAATTCAGCATAACTTAAACCATTAAAGTACCATTAATATTGTAGATTCCTAAATATACGCAAGGAATAAATTATCATGTAATTACGCCAGGAACACCGCATTAAATAAAACAACGCACTTTTATTTTTACGGTGCTTTAATGTATGTAAAGTCTCTAGATAAATCACCCATTCACGAATTATTTTTCTCGCGATTTGACGTCATTCGGCCATTTCGCGATATTAAGTGCTCACGTAAAATAAGGAATCTACAGTACATACTGTACAAGTATTTTTTGTAATGTTTTAATAATACAGGGTAAAACTCCTGCCTTCCATGATCATGAATAGATAGATTAAGCTATGATCACAGAGTTTGAACTATAGCTGAAAAACTACTAATGTCCACTTTACAACAATCAAGTTCACTGATTTGTAAAATAATGATGACTAGAGTTCCAGACATTAGTTTATTAGCTATGTACAAGTCTCTTCGGCCATTACATGTACGTTTTTCAAATATCTGTATGCAACAATCAATGTAAAATGAAGTCAGTCATAAAAAAAAAACAACGTTTAGAGAAATCAGAAATTTTCACTCATTTTTGGACCATAAATATTGAACAAATACCTGTAGTATGCTCATTAAGGGGCTAGAGAATTATAATACAACACTTAGAAGACTTACTCGTTTGGGTCCCACAGTGTGTGGGAGACTTTTTCTACATACTGCACATTTCTCTTGTTTAGTAGTTTCTTTACAGCATTATCTCGTTCCTGCCAGACTGGTTCAGGGTCTGCCTCAAATGTCACCTTAGTGATTCCCCATTCCTACTCAAATAAACACAGCCATCATTTTTTTTTAATATTGCAAAATCAGTATTATCCACATGAAATGTTCCTGATTCTTATCTAATTATAGACTCTAAATTACTGATTGTTGAAAACCTAACCATTAATCTATTGTTGTAATATATGAAAAAAAAAATTAATCATCATATAATATAACCACCTGCTCTTATTATTACCACATTGATTTTTTTTTTGGTTGTTGTTGAAGAAATACCAAATGGTATCCTTTTTAAAATCAAGTTCAGCAAATTACTCAAGTAAACCCTGCTGGTTTACACCAGTTCTTTAATTTTTTATACACTGAAATAAAATCTGACAAAACATAAACTCAATAGAGGTTCTCTGTTTGGAAAAACAGCATATTGCCAAGTTTTATTTTTTTCATCAAGTTCTTTTAACTCTGCAACTAAGATTCGGACAGCTATCATGAACAAAATATGAAAGTAACTATATAGCCAAAAAAAAGACATCTGAAAAATCGAGCAACAGTCATCTTTCAAAAACTTAGTTGATATATTACAGCTTTCGTAGTTATTTAAGGAATCACTGTCTAGTTAGTAGAGTATGCCAGGGCATCAACGATAGTTGGAAACATAGGATAATTTGCATAACGGGCAAAGCCCATTATGCATAAATTATCCCACGTTTCCAACTATCATTGATGTCCCTGGCATACTCTACTAACTAGACAGTGATTCCTTATATTTCCATTTCATTGTGAAATAAAATAGTAAATTTAGATTTTTAAAAATGTAGACTATAGATTTAAATTACATGAGGCCTCACATGTCAATTTCAATAGTCCCCGCCCACTGACGTCAAACACAAAGGCAGTCGCACGAGATTTACATGTATGCATATTAGGCCTCCTTAGCGTCAGACACAAAGACAGCCGCACGAGAATTACATGCATATTAGGCCTTCTTAGCTCCTGACCTTTCGCTTGGGGAAATTTACATTCAGGTAGAATGATCAAGAAATCAACTCAACTAACTTTCAAAGAGTTATCACAGAGAAAACAAATAGAAATGGAAATATTAATCAACAGTTACAGTAATTAAAATTTCACCTCAATCAGTCTGGTAAAAATGTCGGTAGGTTGGCCCTGGAAACAGTACAGTCGAGATCCGACTTTCTTTAGATTTTTGTCCAGATCATGCAGACATTCCAGAAGAAAATGAAATCGATTATATCCTGCTGTATTTGTTCCTGAAAGATATGAACAAAGATGACATGTCTTTTGTTTAGAATTCATATAATGAAAAACTGATGTAACTATGGAATATTTTCTCATCAAAGAAATGAAGTATTATATACATCTATCCTAAGAAATTACACCTGGATCAATCATATAATGTAGGATGAATACTCTACTTCAATTTAATACATCATTCCTTAACACAATTTTCTCAATTCAAAAAAAAAAGGGCACTATGCCATCTCAAAATTGACTCATTTTCATCATGGATCAGATATAAATATATATTGCACTTTTTTAGACTTTGTTATTATTGTGGCATAGTACATGTTGTAACTATAGATAGTCATTCTCAAAAAAAAAAAAAGAAAAGCCAATTCAATTCATTTTAGTCCATAAATTAAGTTGAATTTCATATTCATTGTTGGTTTATATGGAAGTATAAGAATTACAAGTACTTTCTTCATAAATATTTAAAAGAAACTTTAGTACAAAGTAATTTACTGAATTGCCAGCTTCAATTTTACATTGCATGGGTCTTTCCTTAATGTTTAAGCAAAGGAAAGATGTCATGCATTAATAATACACAATGTATTACAGATTTGCACAAATATGCATTTAATTTTACATATAATTTGTAAATATCAGCACTTATTGGTTACCTGCAACTTCACCATCAAATATGAATACAGGGTAAAACTTGTCACACTCTGACAGGCCCTCAATTAAAGATGGGTTGTCATGGAGACGTAGTCCATGACGGAACCAATGAACCACAACTTCCTGTTGATTGATATTCATTCTGTTTCCCTCTTTAATTAAATCTCTGTTGCAAAAAAGAAAGCAAAATAAAAAAATCATGTATACATAAAAAAAATTATACATAAAAAATAAAAATAAATGGAAAATTCAATAAATGGTTGATTAAGCACAAAGCATAATTAAATCCAAATTAATGAAAAGTAAAAAAGTACATTAATTTGTTTTTTATCAAACACAATTCCCTTTTTAAAAAGAAAATTTCTATGATAGTTTATCAATATTTGACATTTGACCTCAAAGCATGACCTAATGTATTTTTTCTTTAACATGTTTACTCACTACAAAATCTGTGCATACAGAGAATACTCTGCAATGTTTTGTAGTTGAATATGGAATTAATTTTACAAGTCTTGTGAGAATAGATACTTTTCATGAGTGCAAAGCGTAAGTGAAAACAAAAAAAATCCAGTCTCAAAGTGAAATGAATTTGAAATTCATATCCAACTACAAAGCTTATAATTTTCAATTAATTACTTGGTTTTTGTTTTGCCTAAATTACCTACGTACGTCTTTTTAATGAAATTTCAAATAATATACAAGAAGGACCATAAGAATGGCACAACGAAGTAGATGAAACAAAGGAAGATGCTCAAGGGCTTTAACGGTCACTCGAGTATAATAAAACATTGTAAAGGATCCATGGAGTATAACACTGGAGGTACTGAGAGCAAACTCACAAAATAATACCCCCCTCCTTTCCCCCCAGACGAGGAGAAGAAATTTAGAGGATTTATGCTTTTTAAATATCTGATCTGCCATAACACGAGAACTGACCAAATGGCCATGAAATTCACAATTTTGGAAGAGGCACCTTTCCTCATTATAATCATGCACTTATTTTATCTGCTTTATACCCAGGAGCAGAGAAGATTTTCAAAGAATTAATGCATTTTTTACTATATATTCAATAGAGTCCTGCCCTAAAAACAGAACCCCTGACCCAGGGGCCATGAAATTCACAATTTTGGAAGAGACATCCTTATTTATCATAACTGTGCACTTACTTTGTTTGCATAATATCCAGGAGAAGAGAAAAAGATTTTCAAAGAAATAATGTGCTTTCAACATATAATCAATATAGCCTCCCCTCCCACAACACGAGAACCTCTGACCCTGGGGCCACAAATTTAACAATTTTGAAAGAAGCACCCTTGCTCACCATAACTATGCACTTAATTTTTATGCTAAATACACAGGAGCTGAGAAAAAGATTTTAAAATAATTAATGCATTTTCACTAAATAATCTATAGAGCCCCCTACCCTGGGCCACAAATTTTACAATTTTGGAAGAGACACTCTTGCTCATTATAAACATGCACTTAGTTTATCTGCTAAATATACACACACAAAAAAAAATTAATGCATCTTCAACAGAGGACCATAAGAACCCCATCCTATCTCCAGAACCCCTGACCTTGGTGATATGAATTTCATAATTTTGGTAGAGGGCTCAGTGCTTATTACAACTATGCCAACAGTTTGACTGCTTGATGTCCAGGAGTAAAGAAGAAGATTTTTAAAGATAACACTAATTTTCATGGTTTCAGCCTCATCCCTCACAATTCCAAAAGTGGGATCAGGTGCCTAGTAGAAGTTAGCATTCCCTGTCGACTGGTCACACCTGCCTTGAGCCCTATATATTGATCAGGTAGACGGAATAATCCATTCAAATTTAGTATAAAAACATAGGCCTCAACTGGTATGAAATAAGTCAAAAGACAAGAGGCCCATGGGCCACATCGCTCACCTGAGCACATTGGCAAGGCAGAAGCACAAATCAGTTCAGTATTGAAAAGATTACCGGGGGGGGGGGGGGGGGGGGGGCTCCTCCCTATCCCAGGGGTCATCATTTGAACAAACTTGAATCTACACTACCTGAGGATGCTTCCATATCAATATGACTAAACATAGCTTTTCTGTTCTTGAGAAGAAATTTTTTTCTATATGTTCTTATGTAAAACTTTCGATCCCCCTATTGGGCCCCACCCTACCCTCGGGGGTCATCATTTGAACAAAATTGAATTTACACTACCTGAGGATGCTTCCATATCAAAATGACTAAACATGATTTTCAGTTCTTGAGAAGAAGATATTTTCCTATATGTTCCTATGTAAAATTTTCGATCCCCCATTATAGCCCATCCCTATCCCCTGGGGTCATCATTTTAACAAACTTGAATCTACACTACCTGAGGATGCTTCCATATCAAAATGACTAATCATGGCTTTGCAGTTCTTCATCAGAAGATATCTTCCTATACATTTCTATTTCAGACTTTTATCCTCCATTGTGGCCCCACCCTAACCCAGGGGGTCATGATTTGAACAAACTTGAATCTACACTACCTGAGGATACTTCCACATAAATATGATCAATCAGGGCTTTGCTGTTCCTGAGAAGAAGATTTTTAAAGATTTTTCCTATATATTTCTATGTAAAACTTTGATCCTCCATTGTGGCCCCGCCCTATCCCCGGGAGGTCAGGATTTGAACAAATTTGAATCTACACTACCTGAGGATACTTCCACATAAATATGATCAATCAGGGCTTTGCTGTTCCTGAGAAGAAGATTTTTAAAGATTTTTCCTATATATTTCTATGTAAAACTTTGATCCTCCATTGTGGCCCCGCCCTATCCCCGGGAGGTCAGGATTTGAACAAATTTGAATCTACACTACCTGAGGATACTTCCACATAAATATGATCAATCAGGGCTTTGCTGTTCATGAGAAGAAGATTTTTAAAGATTTTTCCTATATATTTCTATGTAAAACTTTGATCCTCCATTGTGGCCCCGCCCTACCCCCGGGGGGTCAGGATTTGAACAAACTTGAATCTACACTACCTGAGGATACTTCCACATAAATATGATCAATCAGGGCTTTGCTGTTCCTGAGAAGAAGATTTTTAAAGATTTTTCCTATATATTTCTATGTAAAACTTTGATCCTCCATTGTGGCCCCGCCCTATCCCCGGGAGGTCAGGATTTGAACAAATTTGAATCTACACTACCTGAGGATACTTCCACATAAATATGATCAATCAGGGCTTTGCTGTTCCTGAGAAGAAGATTTTTAAAGATTTTTCCTATATATTTCTATGTAAAACTTTGATCCTCCATTGTGGCCCCGCCCTATCCCCGGGAGGTCAGAATTTGAACAAATTTGAATCTACACTACCTGAGGATACTTCCACATAAATATGATCAATCAGGGCTTTGCTGTTCCTGAGAAGAAGATTTTTAAAGATTTTTCCTATATATTTCTATGTAAAACTTTGATCCTCCATTGTGGCCCCGCCCTACCCCCGGGGGGTCAGGATTTGAACAAACTTGAATCTACACTACCTGAGGATGCTTTCATATAAATATGATCAATCAGGGCTTTGCTGTTCCTGAGAAGAAGATTTTTAAAGATTTTTCCTATATATTTCTATGTAAAACTTTGATCCTCCATTGTGGCCCCGCCCTACCCCCGGGGGGTCAGGATTTGAACAAACTTGAATCTACACTACCTGAGGATGCTTTCATATAAATATGACTAATCAGGGCTTTGCTGTTCCTGAGAAGAAGATTTTTAAAGATTTTTCCTATATATTTCTATGTAAAACTTTGATCCTCCATTGTGGCCCCGCCCTATCCCCGGGAGGTCAGGATTTGAACAAATTTGAATCTACAC